ATCTCATATACCCCTGGACCTCATCCAAGTTGTTAACCCCTAATAAAAACAACAAAACCAAGCTCAAGGACTGTTTTACTAAATTTGGATGAGAGTGTTGATAGATGCATGCTGCCTGGTTGTGCAGTGCTTAAGGGGGACCAAAATCTAAGCGGCCCTGAAGAGGGTAGCGCTGCACGTATTTACACATTCTTGTACATTCATGCTTCCATAAATGTAGTCAGTTTGTCATTTTAGAGTTCTACTTCCAGTTCCTTTGCCTGCTTTTTGGCCTGTCCACATCCCCAGGATGTTTACCAAAACTTTGCTTCCAGTCACTGCCAACTTACGCAAACAAGAGTTGTAAGTAAAATTCAGATGGATATTTAATTTAGAAAAAAAGCCAGCCAGATTACACCTAGTGGCCTGGAGGCTGAAAGGCACAAAATTAGCCTGATTAGGTTGTTCATCCTAACCCTGCTGAAAGCTCTGGCTTCTGCTACAAACCTTCCATACACTAGAAATCAGAATAAGTTTATAAACTTTGCAGAATCTGAGGGCTTTGACCTGCTGGCCCCTGCTTTAATGGGTATATTGAACTTTCTTCAGGCAGACCTGGATACGTGTTGGCAAATTAGTACTCTTAGAGTCAAGTTTTGCCCCTCGCTCTCTGGGCTCAGGTGGGTGTTTTATCAGTTGGTGAGCCAATTCCTGATATTCTGTAGAAGAATTCATAATCCAGAAAAGTCATTTGTCTCTCCTTGGCACTTACAAGTAGTGCTGAGCATGCTGTCCCATCCACCTTTTTTCTGGATTAGCCGTCTTCAGTATAGACAATAACCTTGAAATCAGTGTTATTGATAACTATCACCGGAAGGAGGGTATTGGCTTAGCCTATATTCCACCATATTGCTGCCATTTCCAAACAGAGTAGTTCTAAGGACATTCCTCAGCATCATCCAAAGGTGTGTAAACCTTTTCATCTACATCAGGCGTTGTCATTCCAGTATTTATTTATTTCAGGTACTTACCTGTATATGGCACTGTCAATTTACACAGTGCTTTACCCACATACATTGTACACTCACATCAGACCCTAACCCTCAAGGAGTTCATACAAGGGCCAATGTAGACAGGAGCCAATTAACCAACCTGCTTGTTTTTGGTGTGTGGGAGGTATGCACCTGGAGGAAGCCCACACAAGCACAGAGAGAACATGCAAACTCCAGGCAGGTTGTGCTGTGGTTGGGATTCAACCCAGCAACCCTAGTACTGCCAAGTGTAAGGACTAACCATTAAGCCACTGTGCTGCCCCAAGGAGTGAGGTCACTGATTCCCCTCAAGCTTTGAATGTTGGCTGCATTTAATAAATATATCACAGTGACCTCTGTCACGGATCGTAAGATCGCCGCCACCAACATGCGACAATCTCACGATCGCGACGTCCAATATGTCACGATCGCGGCATCAGACCCCAGACCTTCTCACCAAACTCGTGACCGAAGGACTGGCCGATCTAAAACCGCTATGTAACGTGCGTAACAATGCCACACCCAGCTGCACCCTGCACAATGATTTTCCAGCTAATGGACAACCAATCGATGTGCCGTCAGCCTGAGTGATTGTTACTGGGTTGGGTTAATTACGCAACTAACCCTTTCACACTGCCACCACCTCCTTTTTGATCACAGAAAGAGGAAACTCGTAATATCGCTATAGCACTATAATAATTGAAATAATTGGAGAAAAATGGATACCCTTAGCAAGATGGAGTCTGAAACCAAAATGGTTGAACTGCGTCCATCTCGGATTCGCGTGTTTGCAACAACCTCCTCTTTTAGAAAATCAGACAGCTTTTTCATCATTCCTGGTGATCTCAATAAAAGGCTTTCTGCATCAACTAAAACAATTGCATTATGGCTGTGCAAAGTAAGATGGATCTCAAGGCTCTCGCTACCAAAGGAATTTCATCCCCTTGCCAGAATTCAGAGGTGTATCTCCAGAATTATTTTGCAGGGCAGCAAATGTCACATTTTTGGCCCATTACAAAGTGGAGTTTGGTTATTCATTTCTGAATGATTCAAATTATTTGTCCAATGTTAAAATGATTACAGCATTATCCTACCTTGTTTGGAAGGTTATATCCTGTGTGTAATCTATCATGCTTGTGTCAGGAAAATTGTAAATTAGCATTTGCATTGAGCATACAGTAGTTATGGCAATATTGCCTTGTGGTGGGTGTTTCATTTCTAGTCCAACTGGTCCTGTGATTGGGTAGGGGTAGAGCTCTACCCATATGTATGCTGTCACGCTTAAGTGTGGAATAGAACATAAACGGCAGGTAAGTGTACAATTTTCTACTTTCTGGAGCAAGTATGCAGGTAGGAAATTTTCAATGCAGTTTGCCTTTCCTGACCTGACCCTTTCCTGAGTGACTCAGCAAGTACTGAAGCAAAATGACTAATATGACAGCTAGACAACTAGAATTTAGGGCCCAGTAACACTAGAAACTGCACATCTACTGCATGTTTTTTCTTTACACATTTGCATGCAGTTGATGCACGTTTTTCTATCTGCATTTGTCCTGTGAGGTCACTTCATTCTTCTTTGTTTCCTTGGGCTTCTATGTGCACTGTGATGCGTTCCAGTGCATTTGTGTGCATTTACATGCGTTTGCGTGCATTTTTGTTGTGTGGGAAAAATGCAGCATGCACTACTTTTTTGACTGCACTGCATTGCACTACAATGGAGTAAACTATGCCCATAGGAAGGCCTGGATTTTGGACTGTCTATGCAGTTGGAGAGCAGTCATATATGCATTCAACTGCACCTGGTGTGAAAGGGCTCTTAGCCCTGGTTCACATATATGTGGCCGTGCGGGCTGTGTTTTGCGCGGGCACGAGAGCCCATTCTTTTGAATGGATTCCTGTGCCCTGTGAATGCAGAGAAGTCCCTGCACTTCTTCTGAAATTGCAGCCCGCACGGGAACCTCGGTTCCCAGTACGGTTGCATTTTCCAGAGCGGGCGGCGTGCCATTAGAACTAATGGCACCTGCCTGCAGGTCCGCATTCCTCTGTGCGGGTGGTGCGGCTGCACAGATTTTAGTGCGGATCCACAGAGGCACCACTCACACAAATGTGAACCTAGCCTTGGGGTCAGCAATGGCAGCTTCTCAGTGAAGGATTTCTTTAAACCCAGCCATTAACCTGAATCTAATCAACTAATTGTAAATCCTAGCACTCCTCCACTATCTATGGTGAAACTATATTATCAGAGCAATAAATACAATCACAGAGATACCTGCAGAGAACATACAATCACATTTAAAATGTCATGTTATAAAATCACCAAATTATTATTCTAGGTAAACCTAGACTAAAATGAAATGATCAGGACCGTGGTTTGTATGTGACAAGTGTAATTACACTCCCGCCAAAGTGTATTCCTGAAAGGAACTAAGATAGTAAATATGAAAATACACATTTCAGGCAGTACTGGCTTCATGACTTCTGTTCCACATTTATTTCCTCTTTCTATATAATTAGGTTCTGCTGCCTTTTGCAATGTAATCAAGACTGAGCTATTCCTAGGAAGTTGGGAAACTGCCTAATAAAAGTCAAACACTCCCTCTAGTGGGGTAAGTCCAACATTACACAGTGTATAAAGTAACATTTGCTCCTTTGCATTCAGTTGAGGAATTGATGGGAAATCTCTCCAGTGGGAGCACAGACTGCAACAATAAAGAGGCAGGGTTAGAACCCCTGTTAGGGTGTTATTACTGTGTGTCTTCCTGTACCTGTGCCAATACAACCCCATTTTTCGCTCTATTTTCACAGGGTTTAGGAACTGAGCTGAAATCTCCCCAAAGGGGGTCACAGACAGGATAAAAATGTTTGAAGGAGGTGTGTATGACTTCACATCTATGGGATACAGATCTATCAGTATCACTATCAGTCAACAAAAAAATGGTGGAGATGAATGCCTTAGTAAATTCTATTTGTACAAAATAATTCCAAAAAGCCTTACATAGTCATCCACCTAAACCTTTTTTATAATAATTTCATATAAAATAGCAATAAAAAAGTGACGGCAGTATTTACTGTTCCTAGTTCTACTGAAATATAATTGTCTGTGTTGCTGTTGTGGATATCTACCCACCAGGGGTGGACTGACAACTCATGGGGCCCCTGGGCAATAGGGGATCATGGGGCCCCTGTGTCCTTGCCCAAACTCAAAAAAGCCTATGAAAAAGGTACCAGGGGCATCTCATGTGGCCCCCCTACTGACCCCAGGCCCTCAAGCAGTGCCTGAGTTTCCAAATGGTCAGTCCGCCCCTGCTACCCCCACACTCTTTGTCCTGAGAATCACTGTCACCAGGACAGACAGCGAGGAATAACCTGAAATGTTACAACTGATGACAGAAAAGAAGCAAACAAGATATCTTCCAGTGGTGACATTTGTTCTGATGAAAGCTGACAGAGATGGGCTTTCCTCTTTTTTTGAGGACAGCATAATCTCCCTGACTGTAGCTGATTTACACATGTTCGATGCAGATTGAAGCTCAGGTTTCACAGCTAATTGACACAGTAGTTGGTGAGCAGTTCATGTCAGGTTTACATCAGGTTCAGGACAGGATTGTGTGAGTATTTTATCCTGTTCACACATATGCGGTTTAGAAACCATTCACATAGAAGTCATTAGCCTGCAATCTGCACCTGAACCTGATGGCACTGCTCAGAAATCAGACATGAATCTCTTTCAAACCGCACTGAATTCGCACCGCCAGTGCAATGGACATATGTGAACAGGCACCATAAGAAGCAATGTTATTTCACATGTCATGCAGATTGGATCACTTGAATCATCAGATTCAAGTGTTCCAATCACCTCCATGGCCACAGGAGTATAACATCAAGCACCTGGGCATGCAGACTGCTTCTACAAACATTTGTTAAAGAATGCATCACGCTTAGGAGCTCAGTGAATACAAGCGTGGTACTGTGATAGGTTGCTACCTGTGCAATAAGTCCATCCGTGAAATTTTCTTGCTACTAAATATTCCATGGTCAACTGTTTGTGGTATTATAACAAAGTGGAAGCAACTGGGAACAACAGCAACTAGGCCACTAAGTGGTAGGCCATGTAAAATGACAGAGCTGGGTCAGCACATGCTGAAGTTCACAGTGTGCATAAGTCGCCAACTTTCTGCAGAGTCAATAGCTAAAAAGCTCCAAACTTTGTGTGGCCTTCAGGTTAGCACAACAACAGTGCATAGAGAGCTTCGTGGAATGGGTTTCAATGCAGCTGCATCCAAGCCTTACATAACCAAGTGCAATGCAAAGTGTCGGATGCAGTGGTGGTGTAAAGCGCGCTACCACTGGACTCTAGAGCAGCGGAGACGTGTTCTCTGGAGTAGCAAATCACGCTTCTCTGTCTGACAGTCCAATGGACATGTCTGGGTTTGGTGGTTGCCAGAAGAACAGTACTTGCCTGACTGCACTGTGCCAAGCGTAAAGTTTGGTGGAGGGGGATTATGGTGTGGGGGTTGTTTTTCAGGGGTTGGGCTTGGCCCCTTAGTTCCAGTGGAGTGAACTCTTAAGGCGTCAGAATACCAAGACATTTTGGACAATTTCATGCTCTCAACTTTGTGGGAACAGTTTGGGGACGGCCCCTTCCTGTTCCAACATGGCTGCGCACCAGTGTATAAAGCAAGGTCCATAAAGACATGGATGAGTGAGTTTTGGGGGGAAGAACTTGACTGGCCTGCACAGAGTCCTGACTACAACCTGATAGAACACCTTTGGGATGAATTGGAGCGGAGATTGTGAGCCAGGCCTTGTTGTTCGACATCAGTGCCTGACCTCACAAATGCGCTTCTGGAAGAATGGTCAAACATTCCCATAGACACACTCCTAAACCTTGTGGACAGCCTTCCCAGAAGAGTTGAAGCTGTTATAGCTGCAAAGGGTGGGCCAACTCAATATTGATCCCTAAGGACTAAGACTGAGATGCCATTAAAGTTCATGTGCGTCCCAATACTTTTGGCAATATAGTGTATGTGAACTGGCACTAAAACAATTTATATGTACATGTACTCATCTGAATTCTACCACAAGAGGGAGCATGACTCAAACTAACAAGCAAACTTCTCCCTCTTTTGTTGTACAAATCATGGAAGAACAAACAGCAATACAAACAGATAAAGAAAAGAAACTGAAGAGGACATATGCTGGTATTTTAGGGCCCTATCCACACTGGGTGTTTGTCCATCTCTTCTAAACTCCAGGAGAAAAGCAGCATCAAAAAGGCGTCTAAAGCTGTGTTTTTGAAAAATTGTTTAGGAGCATCAAGCTCTTGGGCATTCATTGGCCAGAATATTAATTTATTTTGGTCATTGAGATGAATGATGCGCCTAGTACTTAAATGGGTGTAGACGCATTGGACCCTTATTCTGCCAAAACACTGCTGCTCCTGAATGCACTGGAAGTGGGTTTTTGTTATTCCTTCTAAATGTCCCTGCCTTTAAGTGCCTGTAAACGCCTATGTGTGCATGGACATATAGATATAGACTGACACTGACTGAAGTAATAACATTGTCTGTATTTACGCAATCATTAAAAGTGTTAAATCGCACTAAACATTAATTCAGCCTCTAATTCATTGAATATGCCATTTTCAGGCCCTAGGGTATAAACAGTGATCAGAAAAGCTTCAGATGACTTCAGGATTCATTTTTAGGGAATTGCTTCTCCTTGCAATCGGGGATGCTATGGAGGGTGTTTCCTTTGTCATACATTATATTGTTCTTATTGCTGTCTATCTTTCCCATCAGAAAAATTGGAAGGTGTATTGTGGGTAGTATGTTTGTGGGTAGGGGACACAAATTAAAATGTGGTACAAAAATGCATCTGTGCGGTGGGGCCCCCACACTACAGGGGTTAAATGCTCCTTATGTCTAGGGGTGCACATAGGAGGAGTTAATACTTACCTCACCCTGCCCTACATACCCTACTCCTGGCTCCAGTATTGTCTCTCCAGTGATGCGACTGGTCTCCCGCAGCCTGCTCTGTAAGCAAAGACTAACATTCTAGCCTCCTAAGCTGTACCATACAGGGTTAATGTCCCTTTATTAAATGTAATGACACCAAGGATCCACCCACAGAACACAGCTTCGGGCAGCAGAGAAGGGCTTCGGAGCTGGGTATAAGGTAAGTGAGCCAACACTGTACACCCTAGACATATTGAGCATTTAAACCATGCAGTGTGAGGGGCCCCACTGCAATGGTGCATTATTTTAAATTTCTGGACTTAGGTCTTAGGAAATGGCAGTACATAGAGAAAGGCTCCTATTCATTTTAATGGTGCTCCATGTATGAAAGTGCCAATCTGTGCATGGCAGCAAAATTCCTTCATCATAGAGTTAAACAGGGTGCCTTCTATATGTCAAAAATAGAATTGTATTCACTACCTCTATGCAGGTGCATATGGTAACAGCTGTTTCCTTTGAAGGTACACTACAGTCCAACATGCTGGTTGAATTTTTGATTTTTGCCAATTATCTCAAGCAGTTTGCTGCCTCATCCTGCAAATCTTAATATCACTGGTGTCCTTGTTTTCTAAATGCCAGTAGATCCAAGTTTGCAAAATCTGAACTATATTCCCATATTCAAGATACTCCCCAGTGGAGTTTTCCAGGTCCAATTCTCATTCAGTGTGTATGATTGGTTGCTGTCAGATCTATCAGTACCGGTCTGTATGCCTTTGGACAGTTAACCATCTATCCCCTACACAGTCTTACTGGCTTTGCAGTAAGCCACAGCATATAGAACCAGAAAGACATGCTGGGAATTATTGCTAAAACCCCTCACTAGTAAATAGTTATTATCAGGCCTGGACTGGGCCAAAAATTAGGCCTGGGCATCTAAGTCTGAGCAGCCCCAAGCCCGGGGCCCTTCCCTTGCAACCCAGTGGTAGAATGCCAGGGCCTGGTTGCAAGTGTAACCTTTGCAACCCTGGTAGTTCCTCCACTCGTGTCAGTAGTTTTTTTTTTTACATGTTTTTTAGGAGCCCCGTTGGGGGGCTTTAATGAGATATCAGGGGTCTAAGCAAAGGAGGATATCAGCTGCAGAGGACATCCAGGCTGCTAATTGAAAACTCTTCACCACACCTACCTGTGGTCCACCATAACACCGGCTCATAAGTGGTTGGGGATACTCATGTTGCAGGACTTTGCCATTCTCCAAGGTTCCATCTCAGGGACAGTCCAGCTGAACATCCTCTGCCCATGTCACACAGGGGCCCAAGCCACCTAGCAGGTGTTTCATAGAGGGGTCTGCTCTTCACTGCCAGGATGGAAACATCTTCCCTTGACCACCACCACCACTCCCAACCCAATCAGGTTTACACTGTACACCTTGTACACAGAACCCGTCCCCCAGCACTCAGATGTCAGGAATCCTCTTGAATTACATCACTCTAGTCAGCAGCAAAGTGCAATACCTTTACTTATAAATGTAATAAAGAGTATAAGTTCCAAACATTGGCAAGGTGAACAAGGCACAACAGGATTCAATCCAATAAACCCATATTTTTTGTACAGTCTGAGGTCCTTGTTCCTTTTAGGTCAGTGTTAGTATCTCACAGTCCATGGTTTGGTAAGTCCACGTGGATGAACCAACATGATTCCACTTAGCCCTCTGCTACATTCTTCCTGTCCAAAGTACACAACAACTCTTCCTTCTCCTAGGTTCTACCCACCTTTCATCAGGGATCCTGCCATACCAGCATAGGCAACATGTTACTTCCAATAAAGGAGGGGCCCTTGGCAAGGGAATAAGTCAACCTTTCTTGCAAGCTTCCTGCCACCTGCCCCAGCCCCCCATATCTGAACAGCTGCCATCTGCAGCACCATGTTCATCCACCTTCTTCTTTCTACAGGAGGAAAGCAGCTTTATGCTGCAGAACAGGAAGAACTTCGGTGCTTTATTTGTAAATTTGCTGAGTCTAAAGGAGTAGGCTGGCCTGCGATTGTATGTATAGTGCAGGCAAGTTTATGTTTATGTATATATATGTGGGGCGGCACAGTGGCTTAGTGGTTAGCACGTCTGCGTTGCAGTAAATGGGTCATGGGTTTGATTCCCGACCGTGGTGCCTCCTGCATGGAGTTTGCATGTTCTAACTGTGCTTACATGTGTTTCCTCCGGGTACTCCGGTTTCCTCCCACACTCCAAAGACATGCTGGTAGGTTAATTGGATCCTGTCTAAATTGGCCCTAATATGTGTATGTATGAATGTAAGTTAGGGACCTTAGATTGTACACCCCTTGAGGGTTAGGGATTGATGTGAATGTTTAATATATATGTGTAAAGTGCTGCATAAATTGACAGCACTATAAAAGTACCTGAAATAAATAAATGTATATAATTTTGTGAGTATTTTGTATGTATAATGATGTGATTTTAGTGTAGGGCTATGTGCATGTTTGTATGCATTGTGAAGATTGTGTGTATAATGAAAGGCTATGAGTATATTTGTGAGTATTGTGCAGATTGTTTGTATGTTGATGTATGAAATGCATATATGATACACCAAATAAATTATTTATTTTTAGTGTGCTCTGAGTTCACGTGTAAATAATAAGGGCCGAGACATTTACCGCACTGCAGTAATTCGTTGACTCGTATTACCGTAACATACATTAATGCATGTTACGTACAGTAGCAAGTTGCAAAGTATGCATTGCAGTGCACCACAAAGCACTACAATGTGGTATGGTGTGCTACTTCAGAAATAATGCTGCATGTCCATTTTGTGGGCCTTTCTTGTGCATTGGCAGCCCACTCAAATTGCAATGTAATGCAAAACGCAACACTCTTAAATGCAAATGTGTTAATGCACAAGAATGACAGTGTAAATGAGTGAGCTTTTATGTCAAAAAGAAAAATATAAGATACTAACAGTCTTTAAACTGGCCATGTACTGATCAATTTCATCCAGTTCCTGAGCCATGTTACATGTTCTTGCTCTGATAATTTGGCAATATTTCTTTCTGGGGCTAGGATTATTTTTAAAATGACTTTTATTTTGCTTCACACTGGTAATATAATGTGCCAACATTTCAATTTAATATCCTCCAGCACAATCTATTTTATAAGGTACAAAACACCCCACTCTTTAACATCTCTCAATCAACTCCCACAAAAAGTCTGTTTAACTGGAAATGCAGAAAGGAATACAGTAGCGTATTCCTTACCCTATGAAGTAGATCATGTCGGAGATCTAGCAGTATTCCAGCCAAGAAGGTTCTAGTTTGATCCTTGACCAGGGCTTTATCTAAAATTGGCCTTGATGTTCAGCAATATGGAAAATGAAAGCCAAAATCCTCCACCTGCTAATCTACTAGCAGTATGACGGTAACACGTTTCGCTGCCTTTGCATGGATATTTAACCACAACATTTTACTGAGAAATACTTTTTGGGGAATACAAATGTTTGTTTCTTTAGATGTCTGTGTGAATTATATGCAATGGCAAAAAAGTTGACAGGAATTCCTCTTTCCTCATGAAAAACATGTAGGCTAGTGTGTAATGAACATCACGAATGGTTCATTTTTTGTCTAACCTTCTGGCACTGCAAAGATGAAAGTTAGACTGTATGGAGGCAGTAGGTCTACAGTACCCTATAAAGGAAAGGTTTAAAGGGTCACTAAACCCAGTACCCCACATTCACTATATCTGGTCACCCACAGTACAGAGAACATGGAAATGCAATTATTTTAGTAAATATAAACTGCTAAATACCTTTTCTCATCAGCAGTTAGAGCAGTCTTGTGACTTCTACCAGTGTCCAGCCAAGCACTGCTTAAAGCTTGTAGGAGGAGTTATAATTCTCCTCTCACTGCCCTATCAGATTGCATAACCCCTTACCCTTTGTCTGGACAGTGCTGATTGGCCATGTGCTGATCACAAGCACTCTCCCAAGAAATAGAACATTTTTTCTAGCATTGCACACCAAACTGAGCATGTGCAGAGTGTCCCTGAGGCTCTGTTCTATCAGGAGATGAAATGGGGAATAATCAGAGAAGACAGGATCAAACATCCTTTTTACACAATGCAGAGGATTACCCCTTAGGTTCCACAGTGAGTGTAGCAAGCATGCTTTACTGCATATACAGACTGATTTTACTGTTGTGGATTTAGTAAAACTTTAAAAATACAGTAAACTGAAAGAATCAAGCAGAATGTCTACATCCCTTTAAATTCTTTCACACTTCAAGCGCTTTCTTTATTTATTATGGCAATCACAACTTTAAAATATAATTTATAATATAAATATTTTAATTTCTTTATACAACTAAATATGAAATATTGCATTTTAATATCATACATTCATCTGTCCTGCCAGCAGATGGATCTACAGTCCCTATTTCAATTATGCAACCATAACAGATTTCAGAAGACAGTTGTTTACATCAGAGCAGTGACACCCGCCTAGGGTTGCCACCTCATCCCTTTAAAACCAAACACATATTAACTACACAGGTTCTGGGGCTAAATTAATGCAGATGAGGCACCAAGTCAGTTTAATTACCACCTTAATCAGCCCCATAACCTGTGTAATGAATATGTCTTTGGTTATAAAGGGATGAGGTGGCCACCCTACACAAGCCTTATTCGATTGTTTAATTAAAAAAGGCATTAATCTAACGTGTCCAGTGTTTCTTTGTAAAATATAGGTTGTATATAATTAGTTTCAAAGAGAAAAGTAAAGCAGTGGTGGTGTCTGCTCTTAGGCCAAATGTTTACTTGAAAAAATATTGACAGGATCACTTAAAGCCATGGCCACGCAGTCACACTAACTGTAACTCTGTCAGGAATAAGGAGCAGTAGTACTTTTGTTCTTTTGTTATTTTTACAGTTTGATTTGGGCAGCAATTAAAGTAAACCTAAACATGAGATATTCAAAAAGAACATAGTGTTAAAAAAATATACCATTTTTTTCACTCCATAAGACACATGACTATAAGACACACCTGACTTAAAACAAGGGAAAAAAGATTTGGACCAATGGAGAGGACAGGAAATGACCAAGACTGCGGAAAAAAAATTCTGGACCAATGCGGACTGCAGGTACAGGGAATGACCAGTACTGCGGACAGGAAACAGAGACTGCGGACACGGTACAGGGGATGACCAGAGACTGCGGACTGCGGACTGCGGAACACGTACAGGAGACTGCGGGACCAGGGGATGACCAGAGACTGCGGACACGGTACAGGGGATGACCAGAGACTGCGGAGTACGGTACAGGGGATGACCAGAGACTGCGGACACGGTACAGGGGATGACCAGAGACTGCGGACTTTGTACAGGGTACAGGGATGACCAGAGACTGCGGACACGGTACAGGAGATGACCAGAGACTGCGGACACGGTACAGGAGATGGACCAGAGACTGCGGACCGGTAGAGAGACTGCGGACACGGTACAGGGGATGACCAGAGACTGCGGACACGGTACAGGGGATGACCAGAGACTGCGGACACGGTACAGGGGATGACCAGAGACTGCGGACACGGTACAGGGGGATGACCAGAGACTGCGGACACGGTACAGGAGATGACCAGAGACTGCGGACACGGTACAGGAGATGACCAGAGACTGCGGACACGGTACAGGGGATGACCAGAGACTGCGGACACGGTACAGGGGATGACCAGAGACTGCGGACACGGTACAGGGGATGACCAGAGACTGCGGACACGGTACAGGGGATGACGGTACAGGGGATGAGACTGCGGACACGGTACAGGGGATGACCAGACTGACTGGGACCAGAGACTGCGGACACGGTACAGGAGATGACCAGAGACTGCGGACACGGTACAGGAGATGACCAGAGACTGCGGCGGTACAGGGACACGGGACACCGGTACAGGAGATGACCAGAGACTGCGGACACGGTACAGGAGATGACCAGAGACTGCGGACACGGTACAGGAGATGACCAGAGACTGCGGACACGGACACACACCCCCATACCCCCTCCCCACACACTCTGTACCCCCCCACACACCCACCCCCCACACATACACACACTCTGCACCCCCCACTCACCCCCCCCACAGACACACACACTCTGCACCCCCCCCACACACACACTCTGCACACACACTCTCTGCACACACACACTCTGCCCCCCCCCCCATACACACACTCTGCACCCCCCACACACACCCCACACTCTGCCCCCCCACTCACACCCCCACAGACACCCCACCTGCCCCCCCCCACACACACATGCACACTCTGCACCCACTCACACTCCCACACCCCCCACAGACACACACTCTGCACCCCCCCCACACACACTCCGCACCCCCCCCCCACACACGCACTCTGCACCCCCCCATACACACACACACTCTGCACCCCCCCATACACGCACTCTGCACCCCCCCATACACACACTCTGCACCCCCCCATACACACACTCTGCGGCCCCCCCCCCACACACACACACTCTGCACCCTCCCATACACACACTCTGCACCCCCCCATACACACATACATTCTGCACCCCCCCCCCATACACACACAAACTCTCTCACAACTCATCTCTGCTACACTATAGAGCGGCATCTGGCTGGTCCTCAGCCACTCTGACAGTGTGACCAATGACACAGTGTGACCATCATTGGTGGTCCTGGGCTTGGTCCTCTCTGCAGCAGCTTCCTCTGCCTTGTACATGAGGAGGAGGAAGAATATAGTTAACACATTGCAGTACTAGATGCCCCGACTGCCGTGGCTGGTGGTCCGCGACAAAATAAAACCTGTCCGGAACAAAAATCATTTTCCATGATTCAGCCCGGGACAAATGTCAAAAATCCGTGAGCATCCCGGGCAATCCCTGACTGCTGGCAACTATGCAAATTACACTCAGTGAAGGCCACATTTAAAAACGACCAGTAAATCCAGGGATGCAGACTGTATCTGCAAATCTAAATTTTGCAGGAGGCCCTGTCAGAATGAATGCATATCTAAATGAGAAAAACAAAAATGTTATATATTGCAGCTTTCCAGTCCTTGGATGCAGTTTCTTTTTTTTATTTTCAGGTGATTTTCCCTATATTTTCACTTAGTAATGCTGCCAATAACACACTTCTTGTCCCTCTGTATCTACACTCACTTCTCTATTGTATTGGTTGTCGCACAGGCTAGATTTCAAACACGTCAGTCTTTGCTCATTTCTGCATAATGTTGGGTTGATGGGACTAGAAGTTTTAAAATGAGAGGTGTGGGTACTTACATGTTCCCCCACCAACTCCCTTCTTTCCCACTTCCCAGTACAATCTGGCACAGGAGGGCTGCTGTGGAAGAACAGCTAGTACTTACCTGAGAGTGCCAGGGAGATGTCTTCAGTGCCGACAAGGGATTGCAGGAGGAGATGCTTCCATGAGGCTGGTGTAGATTATCTCCTCCTTTTGTCTCCTGGGAGGGTTGTGTGCCTGAGCCACTGGAAAAGGTGCGCTGTCACTGGTAAACACAGAAGCCAGCAGAAGAAGCTACTAATGCAGAAAACGTTTTTCTTCTGGCTTCTGTGTTTACCAGTGACAAGTCGGTGAGCGCAGGGCAGTGCCGGAGGTGGAAGTACAGAGTACCACCACGTTCCGGTTGAACTCAAGACCTGTTCATGACACTCTGGGGGCGATTTACTAAAAGTGGTCCACTCAGAATCTGCTTAGTATCCAAATCCACTTCTAACCTCAGCTTGTTCAATTAAGCTTTGACAATAAAACATGGAAGCTGATTGGTTTCTATGCAGAGCTGACCAGATTCTGTGTGCACCAGTTGTAGTAAATCTCCCTCTATGTGTAAAAACATTCGCAAAGAAAATTGCTGACATAGCCCAGCCCTAGTCTTCATCAGGCACTTTGGTATAGACCTTGGCAGCCAGAGAGTTCTGCTTGTTCACCATCTTTGTCTGGACACAGGGCACAAAATTAGACAAAATATTAATTATAGTAGAGATTTAAGCCAGCCATAACCCTCTGATCACCAAGCACACAGTCATTACATGGGATTAGTACATATACCATGTGAGAGCCAGGTCTTATCACCTCTGGCCCCTGACCTCAGGGAGATATGATTGGATGAATGGTGAGGAGACGGGCCAGTGTGACCCAGGGGTGTGGGTACATTACTGACAAAGATTACCCACTATCAGGAATATCTGAACATGGAGACATCCCCTATATACAGCATGTTTTCCCCCCCTGTATAGGTGTCACTCCTCCTCCCCTCATAGAGCATTTGTGCCCGTCTGTCTAAAGTGCCAACCCGTATACAGCATGTATGCTCCTCTTTCTGAGGTTTCATTCACCCTGTATACGGCATGTATTAGGATTCCACACCCAGGTATAGAGCATGTGTGTCCCTCTGTACAAGGTGTCCCCCCTACAGCATGTGTGCTCCTCTTTAAAAGATGTCATCTCCCCATGTAAACAGCATGTGGGTGTCTCTATATAAAGTGTCACCTTCCCCCCCATATGCAGCATGTGTGCCCCTCTGTATGTAGTGCCACCCCTCCCCCTATATACAGCATGTGTACCACTGTATAAGGCAGTGGTTCTCAACCTTCCTAATGCCGCGACCCTATAATACAGTTCCTCATGTTGTGGTGACCCCCAACCATAAAATTATTTTCGTTGCTACTTCATAACTGTAATTTTGCTATTATGAATTGTAATGTAAATATCTGATATGCAGGATGTATTTTCATTGTTATTAAGTTATTAAGATTAAGTTCCCACGGTACAGATTTTTTTTGCAGTAGTTGATGATTTTACTGTACATGATTTTACATTTACCCAGTAATTATAATTCATCAAGTGTCGTTTTACCTCCAATACTGCTGCTTTCAACACAGTAGCTGCTTTTAACAGAGTAGCTGCTTTCAACACAGTAGCTGCTCTTTACACATGTGTGACTGGTCCACATAAGTACATTATGGCGCCAACCCTGTCACATACACCTGTATTTGTACGGGGTGTATGTGGAGTTGGCGTGATGATGTCATCATGCAGGGTACTCATATGTGGGCGTATCTGCCTGTGGGCGGACCCGTCTGGAGACGGATAGAGGACCGATGTCTCAATTCCTAACACCATCGGAAATATGTGTTTTCCGATGGTCTTAGGCGACCCCTGTGAAAGGGTCGTTCGACCCCCAAAAAGGGTTGCGACCCACAGGTTGAGAACCGCTGGTATAAGGTGTCACCCACCACCACCTCCTGTATACAGTATATGCACCTATAAGGGGGCATGCAATTGGCTAATGTCTGGCGAATGGCACAGGTCCCCGTCCTGCTTCTTCTTGCTAGAACAACCACCCACCTGCATGAAGCCCTAAACCTACTGGAAAGTCTAGCCATCAACTCTATCATCTTGAGTTGCCGGCTGGACCTTTCCCTGCAGTGTGATTTATGGTACGGAGAGACTAATTTATTTATTTCAGGTACTTGTATAGCGCCGTCAATTTACGCAGCGCTTTACATATCTATTGTACATTCACATCAGTCCCTAACCCTCAAGGGGTGTACAATCTAAGGTCACGCCTGGTCACTAGTCTTCCAAGCTCCATGGTGAGTCATGGTTGAGCAGTGCTGATTTATTATTCTAAACCTCTGCCATATTGTGCCCCACTCCATGCCTGAGGCCTCCACACAAGATTTCTAGCCATTGACCTTTATATCCCCAAAGGAAGGAATAGCCACACATAAATAAGGTTAGTGTATAAATAAGGTTGTACTTGGAAAATGGCATAAAACATCGACATACATTCCAGAGTCACTTGACAGTATACTGTCAATCACATTTAGTGGTTTGCAACAGTCACATGTGAAAGCATATGCAGCACTTTAAGTAGCCATCTTCCCTTGCCTTGGTTCACATCTGTGCAGGTGGTGCCGCTGCAGGACCCACACAAATAACTGCAACCACACCACCCACACAGAGGAATGCAGGACCCACAGTCGGGTGCCACTGATTCTAATGGCACACCGCTCCCATTGGAAATCACAACCATACTGGGAACTCTCGGTTCCCGTGTGGGCTGTGATTTCCAAATTACTGCAGGGACTTCTTCCCCGAGTGTCCCGTGGCACAGGAGTCCATTCAAATTAATGGGCTCTTGTGCCCACGCAAATTGCGGCATGCACGACTGCACAGATGTGAACCAGGGCTTACTCAGTCTCTCTCTCCTTGTGAGCACCACAGTGTAGGGACCAATCTCCCTGTATACTATATCTGCAGCATTCTGTGAAGGTGAAGCATCCTGCTCTGTCAGCTGATATTGACGTGGTTCTAAAAGGTACAAATTTGTCTTACCTTAATGCTATGTATCAAGGTGAAAAAACCTTCTGCATGCATGCAGTTACTCCCCCCCAGCCCCCTTTTACCTACATGAGATCGATCTCGATTCAGGGCAGCAGCAGCTCTCTCTGCTCTCTCTCTCCTCACTGGACAAAGAGGCAGCAATGGGAGCCAATCGCCAGCCAATGAGGAGGGATTGGGGGGAAGGGCCAAGCCATGCTCTGTGTGTCAACGGACACACAAAGCTGACTCAGTAGCAAGCATGCCCCCCAGAGCAAGTGCTCCCCCAGGTACATAGCAGGGGGGAGGAGCCAGAAGCGCCAGCAGGGGACCCAAGAAGAGAAGGATTGAGGATGCTTTGTGCAAAATTATCGCACAGA